GTCGCAACATTACCAGGATAAAGTCGCAACATTACCAGGATAAAGTCGCAACATTACCAGGATAAAGTCAAAACATTACCAGGGTAAGGTCGCAACATAACGAGGGTAAGGTCGCAACATTACGAGGATAAAGTCGCAACATTACGACGATAAAGTCGCAACATAAGTTCACTTTGACGTACTGCCCAATTAGACGCTGCTCCTAAAAGATTTCCTTGTTTGTCAAACCGATGCCAAAGTATAACTTCACATGATGCTCGACATTCCTCATTTTAGGGAAGAAAGAGCTTCTTGGAAGAGTTGTCATAAAACACAACTTCTTTCTGCTACTTTTAGGACTTTATTCTCATAATTTTATCCCTATTCTCGTCTGACTTTATTCTTGTAATTTTATGAATTTATTCTCAAAATAGAAGAAAAAAAATCTCTAGCCTGGCGCTAATACTCCATTGTAAGTTTCAGTTCAGCAAAAACAAAAAAACAAAAAAAGAAAATAAAATAAGAAACAAAAACAAACAGCTCAAATATCTAAAGACTTCGCGACTGAGTAAACCTGAAAGCTCTTCTGTAAATAAACAGGGAACCAACTGGTAAAGCACTGGCTTTGGTCATAGAGGTCAGATTTTACCCTGGTTCTATGGCAACAATGCGGGAAATTATAAAAGCTGCAGACGCTGTGACGGGCAGCTAATTTTCTGCATGGATTATATCAAGCATAACCCAAACTTGAGTCCTATTTGCCTTCAGGTCTTCAAGCTATTGGAACAAAAAACAACCAAATCATGGCTGAAACATTGAACTGGAATTGTTATTGAGATAAAGTAGCAAAATTTCAAAATTTCTCCCCTTTCCTTGATGGGTCCTTGGCTGGTCCCCTACAATTCCTATTTAAACATTAATCTTTGTACTAAAAGATTCTGCATATGATTTGTGGACATTAAGATCTAAAGAGAAGCATAATCTCCTGGTCAGACCCTGTAACTCGGAAAGGGGGGAGTCAGTAAATATATATATGCACACCCAGGGGAAGGAGAGGGGTTACTGCAGTGGCTGGAAGTTGGAGGGGATTCTGCTGGGAGATGCATGGAAGTGAGCTGCTATTTAGTTGGCCATTTTGAATGGCTGCTACTGTAATTGTCAATTTAAGAATTAAATCCTTAAAACAGCTAAAAGAGCAGAAATTAAACCAATAAAACTAAAGCTGAATGTATGTATTATTTGCAGTTTTCATGTCTTAAGGCTGATTTATACTCAGAAAGCAGGTCGTCTGCGTGTGTCGCAGTGAACGCAGACAGATGTGTTAATCTCTCCTCGCTTTAAATTAACTATTATAAAACCAAAATCCTTAAATACGTCTGTTGTTAGTTTTAAGGTTTTAATCAGTAGCTCTAAAGTGACTCCAGTTCTAGTAGAGAAAAACCTCAGCTACTCGGCTCCTCGCTGACGGACGCCTGAGCGGCGGACACCACTTCCTTCTCTAGCCCAGCGCGTACCATCAGCGGATGATACGGGAATCCCCCCCATCACTCTCTGTGACACCACAACAAGGAAGGGCTCGCTTTTGTCATCCTCTAAACATAGCAGCGGTATGCAGCGCAGTCAGGACTGACAGGAGGAACAGCTGCTGCCAACAATGTCACAACAAAAAAACGGGTGTTTTACTCACCGAGCGTCGAGGAGGCGTCCAGACCCTGACTCCCACCGCTGGAGCTGCAGAACAACGGAGAAGCAACCATGTTAAACCTTCACCTCAATCTGTCAACATGACTGATCAGTCAGAGCAAAAGAAAAAAAGTCTAAGATCAGTGGAAAAGAATGTGGAATATTTTTAGCAGATGATGTCACCGTCTCCAGGACATTTTTAGACTATAACTGTAATGAGATGGATGAGTATTTTTAGACCAGCAGTAGAGAAACGCATAAAACAAACTTCCAGGAGATCAGAAAACAAGAATCCAAACGTAGAGGAAGGCTTTTAAATTCTGAGATCAGAGGATCTGGCTCTGCTGCAGGATCAGTGATCGATGTGCAGAGAAAGACTTTATCAGGTCAGATTAGTATTTCGCCGCTATCCTCTGCTCTCTGATTGGATGACAGACGAACTACCAGTTCAGTTTTCCGCTTGAGGAGCAGCGGATAAGACAACCACCAACTGCTGCGCGGGTTATTGAGCACTGCTCGTCAGCTGGCTGACACAATGTGATTTCCTTTTCTCCTCTTCTAGGAAGATGAAATTAATCGTCTATAAAAACGTCCGGAGCTGAAAAACAAGGACAGGTGTGGCTTTGGAAACTGAGGAGCCACTCGGCCCCTTAAAGCCCTGCTGCTGTTGGCAGCCATGAGGCTCGTCTGCTGAGCAGCTGACTGACCAGACATCCTTCTCATAGCAGCTCATTGGACTTATGTTTCTCTATAGAGACCAGAACTATGAAAACTGGGAATATTCTGTGTGATAAATATTTTAAGAGCATCAAACTGTTATTGATCAAATAACTATAACTAGAACAATGTCACATTTTAGCAGGAGAGGAAATAACTGTTGCTCTTTGATGACGGGATGAATTATGTTTTACGCCACCTATAAAAACCACAAACTGCAACTTTTCTTAGTGTTGAGAAAAATAGATTTTTAAAACTACTACTTAGAATTAAAAAATAAACTATGACAGCAGAAAGGGTCTGATTTAGGGTTTTATCTATCGCGGGGTGAATTTTGGTGGAGGCAAAGAACACGTTTCTGAACAGAAATTTTAAAGAGAAAAAATGGAAAAAAACTGAATCAAGGAAGGAATTTGAAAAAAATAAATAAATAAAAAATAAAAATAAAAAAAGGGGAATCCAGGAAGGAATTTGAGAAAAACAAAGGGAATCAAGGAAGGAATGTGGAAAAAAAGAGAACAATTAAAAAAAGAAGGGAACCCAGGAAGGAATTAGGTGAAAAAAAAATGAAAAAAGGGGAAAAAAAAGGGAATCTGGGAAGGAATCTGAAAAAAACATTTTAAAAAAAAAAAAAAAAGGTTTTAGAACAACTTTTCTGTTATTTATATTTTCACAATGTTATATTTTCAATTACTTCTTTTTCTTCAAAATTTAATTTAAAATTTTCCATAAAATTCTATCTGAATCACAGAAATTCTAAAACATAAAATCTATTAAGAAGTTTTTTTTTTTTACAAAATTCTATTTAAAATGAATAAAAAAAACGTTTCAATAAAATCTTAGAAAAACATTCTTACATTTTTTTAATGAGAAGTTTTTCCATTTCTGTATTAATTTCTTTCTATATTTCAATCTACCAAACGTTTCCTATGTTTGCAAAAATAGTGGAACAACATTCACCCCGTATTGTTTCCAGTTGCTCAAGAATCTGCTTAAATTAGATCTAAAATCAAGATTGATTTGTTGATTTCTTCCTAAAATAAGGCTTAGATTTCTGACAGATTCACACAGCGAATGAAAAGATTGTGGACTGATTTAAATTGATACCGGTGACGCTCATTGGCTCATTGATTTAGTGACTTTTCAGACTAACCTAGCAGCTGCTATAAAACAGAGCGTGAGCTGAACTCCTGCAATGGACCGGTTTAAACAACCAAACAGTACTCAATTCTGTTGTCAGACCCATATCAAAATGGAATTACTAGTAATCAGAACGGGTTTGAACTGGTCTAAAATCCTCTTCTGGTTTCCTGACCGTCTAGCAGAGCTCTACATGCTGGAGCAGGGTATACCTGGCTGGCTGCTGTGGTTCTGTGGCTGCAGTATTTGGCTCCGGTTTGGCCTCCTCTGAAGAAATGGGGACAGCTGCAGGGGCCGGGACTGGGGCCGGGGCTGGAGCGGGGTTTGTAGCTGGGGCGGGTGTTGAAGTGGAGCCAGAGTCTTGTACGGGGGGCTTGGGTGCTTCTGAGACTGGCGGAGAGGCTGGAGCTGCAGGTTTAGCCTTTATAAATTCAAACACAGTGAAAGAGGGTTAGAGGTAAAGAGCTCAGGGGGTCAGCGGCCGTCTTTTACCAGAGTTACCAGCAGCGGTTATTTCAACACCAGTCTAACTGATCCACCATATGTGGGAAAAAAAGAGACAATTATGAAAATGTTACACAAATTTAAAGCATTCATTATAGACACAGAAATGGAGGTAGCAGTGATGCATGGCTGCTGAATGCATTCATTAATCAGCTAATATGTGCATTAATGTCAAATATCAGCCAGACGAAGCATCAGTGCATCTGTAGTTTCTACAAAAATCTTTGGCACAAAAAAAAATAAAAATAAAAAAATCACAGCTTTTCCAGACTGGAATTTCTGAATTTCCTGTTATTTTTTTCTTTTTACTTTGAATGGGTTTCAATTAGTGTTGCACCGATACCAGCATTTGCCAGGGCACCGATCCAGGATAAAAATGGTGTTATCAGTATAATGATGGTTATTTGGCTATGACTCCATCCTGGAAAGAAACAGCAGCTGTGCTGCTGCCATCAACACCTTTGTTTA